CCCCCCCCCCCCCCCCCCCCGTGTCTGCAGAGGCACTGGCTGGCGACCCCAGGAGGCTGCATGGGTAGGGTACTGATTCCCTGCATGCCAGCAAATACCAAGACTGCTAGGAGCAACAGCTGGGTGCAAGAGAGAGGGGGTGCTGCTTTGCCACCCGCCATCTCAGCCCAGGAGGCTGTTTGTAGCAGCAGTAAAATCCCCATAGCCTGAGAAACACAAGCCCTCATGCTGCAGGACGCAAGCCAACCTCTAACAATTAGAGGTCTGGGGGAAGCTTTCCCTATGGGCAGGTTATTCCATAACTGCCTACCATGAGGTTCTTGCCCCATTCTCTGAAGCAGCTGGTGCTGCCTGCCATCAGAGACAGGAGGCTGGCTCTGTGTGCCGCTACTCAGCAAATACCTGGATCCTAAATCATCCCACCCTGGTTTCTTGTTCCCACCCCGCGCCTGCACAGCTGGTGAAGAATCTCCACACATTTATGGTGCAGTTTGTGTGTGTGTGAGCTAAGATGGACCTTTGGCCTGTTGGGGCCTTGGGCCCCTACGGCAATCGCTTGCCAAAGCAACAGGATTGCCAAACAGAAGGCAAAGGGCATTGGCTGCATCATTACCTGGGGTGGGGGTGTTTGTGTGTGACTGCAATGGTGGAAACTCATCGGGCAGCGTTCTCTCTGCACAAAGGACTGTTGCGAGCTGGTGTACAGAGCTACCGAGAAGGAGCCACTGGCAGTGCACATCCTCCTCGTTTTATGGGCCCCACAAAGCCAGGGATGGGGCTGTCTATTCCTGGGCTCTAGTTGCTGGCTCTCTGTGAGCAAGGTGTGTCTCTATAGATAAAGAGCACTCCTGTAACAGGGTCTGTCTGACTGGTGTAAAATCCTCCCTACAGTGCCGTAGAATAACCCCATTCAGCCTTGTCCAGCACTGTTCTGAGTTGGTAGCCCTTGCCGCAGGGCGTAAACGACGGGCATGATGCCTGGCAAGGATGCACCGAGCCTGTAAAAGGTCTATAATGAAGTCTCGAGAGGGTACAGCTGGGTCTCAACACTGCTGAGTAAAGCGTCAGTCTCGTAGGAATTACTGTATTCCAGTCCGGGCAGGGCTTGGGCTGTAATTTTGCCGCATTACTGTCTGCTTGGTGCGCAGCAGAAACATTGAAGGCTTTTGCAGAGTGATTGTCCCAGTGAGTCACGGAGGGGCAGGTTGGGCTGTCTGTGTTTGGGAGGCATCGGAAGCCCTCACTCAGCGTTTCAGCAAGATGAAAGTGCCCTGAATGAGGCGGCATCTCAGAAAAATGGCATGACCTGAAACTGAGCAAAACTTGTGCTCCCCCAAATGACTTGCTGAGCTTCAGGCTTGTGAAACTAAGATCCAGGTGCCTGGGCCAGCTCCCATTTTGCTGTTGTATCAAAATGCTTCCAAACTTGCAAAAATAGGGGCCACTCAGCAACTTAAGCTGGGCTTCCTGTTGAGTCCTCTGTGCTATGCAGGTGTTAGACACATAATTCTCTGTTCCTCCCACACTCCTATATGCTCACACCTTCACCCAGTTCCTAGTGCTCATGGAGTAACCTTGTTAATTTAAATACCCACCCGTAGCCAATTCAGGGTGTAATCCTGTGAGTTTGCAGGTCCTTTTAGCAGTGGAAGAGCCTTACTCTCTATTAACAATTATCAGACAAGCACAATACACATGCTAAGCACACAGTGCCTTGCTCACCAATCCTGATCAAAGCAGGTGAACATCTCCTGTTGGCCAGGCAAGGTCAGTCTCCTCTGCATTCTAGCTGCTGCACGTCACAGTCGTCAGAGGCTTCTTGGCAGCTCTGGTTTTCGGCTGTGTTTTGGAGGCGAGTTCCTCTTCCAGGTCTTTCCTTCTTCTTTCTGTTCCTCCTTTTCCTTTCTTGCTGGTCATCTTGGACCTCCATTTATATAGTGAAACTCGAGTCCTGATTAGCTAGACCTTAACCGATTATTTTACTAATATTGTACTAACCAATCCTAACATACTGTAATAGAATTTTCTCACCAACTGTACCCCACCACCTTAGTTCCTTTACATCGAGAAAAAATTAATTACACCACAGACAGCAAAAATTAAAAATGACGGAGATCATACAAACAATAGGAAAGCGGGGACCATAGTAACTGATTAAAGATTTCACAACCCTAACTTGAGATGCAAAAATGAGTGGCAGATATCCACACTGACATCCGTGGATATAAAGTAGGTCTCTGTGGATTTGCAGGGCTCTATAGATAGTAGTTTCTTGCAAGACAAGATGTTCTTAAGTTTTCTTTAACCATCTTGAGATCTGATTGTTTATCTAGTGGCATTGGGTGCCATTGGGACACCTTCTTAACAGCCTGGCATGATATTGTTGTAATGCAACTGAGATGGACTGTGAGTCTGATTGCCTGCCTTTCTACTAATAGCTGCTGCTCTTTCAGTCTGACTGTAGCCTAAAGGTTACACCTTCATCCTTCCAACATGGCTGATTGTATCCATACACCGGGAGAGGAACACAAACCCATGAGGGAATGGTACTGCCAATGGCACTTAATTTGTTAGGCTCTGCTGACCTCAACAGCGGCTGGAATTCATGCCATTTCTTCCATGAATGTGTGCTGTGTGCGAACTTCAGTGAACAGCTATCAATTCTTGGTGGAGACCCAAGTCCAGTGGCAGCCTGCCAATATAGGCAAACTAGGCGGTCGCCTAGGGCACCAAGATAAATGGCCATTGAGGGCTTTGGAGGTGGGGGCGCCAATCGCGCGCCGATTGCGCATTTCACGTAGGGTGCCAGTTGCCGGCAGCACATCTAGGGCCACTCCTGCCCAAATCCTTGTATCCTCAGGACCAGTGTCACATGAGCAGCCTATCTTCACCCCCACCTATTCTGGAGAGCTGGAATAAGGCAACCTGGAGTGCTAGTTACACTCCCAATAGGTGCAGTTCCCAAGTGCCAGGGCGATTGCTCTCTGGCAATAATGGATGTTCCTTTGCTTGCAAGAAACTGTCCACACATGCAGACAAACATGACTGCTTTGGTTACTAGGGTTGCCAGGTGTCTGGTTTTGAACCGGAGAGTCCAGTATTTAAGCTTTCTGCTTGGGAAACAAACTGAGAAAAGAGAAATGTCTGGTATTTTCTAAATCAGATGTCATACAGATTGTGATGTAATGTCAAGCGTGTCCGGTATTTTTGTTGAAATCATCTGGCAACCCTATGTTACAGGCATGTTATTAGCAACCAGCAGGGCTAGGAAAATATAGGAATGAAAGCTGAGAATGGGACGATACAACATGGGTAAACTCATGCTCGGCTCTTTATACCTGTAATATTTTAGGTATTAATTACTGTGGTTGGTGGTGGTGGTGGTTGTTGTTATGGCAATTGTGGGAGCACCTTGGAGGCCCAGTCATGTTAGGTGCTGTGGAAACTGTTATGCGTTTTCTTACGCTCCATTTCAGAATGCCCAAGACACCCATGGAGTGGCAGTGCCAACCCCATCTGTGCCAGACGGCTTTGAAGAAAAAGCAACTCTAGGTAAGGTGTCCTCTCTGTGGAGGCATTCAAGCCCTTAAAATGACTGTAATGCACAGATCTGCTTTTGCTACCATCACTTTTCCTTAATCATGTAATTTGTTTGGCTGAAGATGATGTTCTGAGGGGTCAGGATTTGGCGGCCTGTGTGTTCATGTCAACCGAGCAAACTTTCAGGCAGGCTGACTTAAGGAGGATTCCAAGTGTCCTTAGGGAAGCGACTGAAATCCAGTTACCAGATGCTGTCATACGATGGAGCCAACACCGGCAAAGCATGTTGACCTAGTTTCTTCTGTGATGAGACCATGGCAACTATCAAAAGTTGTGTTGGGTTTTTTTTGTTTTTTGGGTTTTTTTAATATATAAAGTAATTCCACTGTTGACACAGAAATTTGGTTTCTTAATTTGTTCCCTTATTCAGCGGCAAGCTCCTAACTGAATTTTGTCTTGATAGTAGATCGTGATTATGATCGTTAAGAACCCAGGAGACGGAATATACTTTTCTGCCAAGTATTACATAAGATCTTATGAGACCTGCAACCACCTAACTCTAGTCGTTTCCTTTGTGGTCCCCGTTTATCTGGCTTGATCAATTTACATAAAAATCCGTGCATCAGAAAAGACCAAGAGCTACACCAGTGCAGGATCCAATAAAAAAAATAAGTTGGTATCAGTGGCTAGCTTAAAACTCATGATTCCCAATCACAATTCCATAAGTTATAGAAGCATTTGATAGAAGTGTATTTAAAAATAATTCCTCCCTAATTTTCATAACCAAAGGAGCACAAAATACATCGCAGCAGTTGAACGGTTGCTGATTAAATTATTCATAATAACGTTGTTGGAAATGAATTGTTTCTGGCTAGGTGTGAGAGAACATTTCTGGAGATGGTCTCTGAATAGGTCTTACCCATGTACAATGTGTTTTAACACCAGTGCTCTTCTCCATAGGCCTTGGGTCGCAAATCAATGGAAACTACAGAATGTACAGTTCAGTTGGAGACCTGCGCTCAAAGTTTTTCAAAAGCGAATATCTGGACAATGATATTCCTCCACCACCTGCAATGGCCCCACCCCCACCTCCACCCTCCATGGCACCCCCACCTCCACCCACGGAAATACCACTGCCTCCACCATGCATGGCACCACTACCGCCATCACCGCTACCTCCAACAGCAGCATCTCCGCAATCCATGGCTCTACCTGTGCATTCGTCGTCCACGTTATCCTCTCCCAGCCGGCTGTCCCCTCCAGATTTTGTTCCTCCAGCCCCTCCACTCACATTTGTAGTACCTCCGGCACCTCCCATGCCACCTCCGGCACCTCCCCTGCTGCCTCCAGCGCCTCCCATGCCACCTCCTGCACCTCCCCTGCTGCCTCCGGCTCCTCCCTTACCACCTCCGGCATCTCCCCTGCTGCCTCCGGCTCCTCCCTTACCACCTCCGGCACCTCCTCTGTCTCCTTCTCCCATCTCAAATGTCATCTCCAAATGGAGATCAGAAATAGTCCTGAACACAAGGCAGACAGACGCCCGGGGAAACACCAGCACTGCCTCTTTGTATATCACCACTCCACCAGCCTCTAACCAGAAGGAAGAGTCGCTGACCAAGTCTACTCCAGAACCTCACCTAACTTTCCCCAGATCCGTTAAAATACCTCCCGCTACCCCTGTCAGAAGTTCATCCATTGCCATGGAAGAAAAAGATTCCTGCGAGGACAACGGACCAATTTCCAGACAGCCTCACAGCCGCCCTCCCCTTCCACCAAGTTTTACCATACGACCAGCAGCAAAGGCACACTTAGCTGAAGAAGCGGAGCAGAAATCTACCTTGGACAGGCAGATGGTAACACAACCCATGAGACAAATCACAGAACCCACGAGTCCAAAACCAGAGTCTGAAAAGGATGTGGGTCCAAAATGTGAGCCTCCTGCTGCAGAGGAGAAATTCGCTGTGCCCTCCCCAGACTACTCCTCGTCTGATGACGACTGGAAAGAGCCCAGTAATCTAAACAAGCTGAAGCAAGAACTGTCAGCCCTGCTGTCCTCCTCTTCAAAAAGGGAGGAGAGACAGGTGGATAAACCTGTAACTCCCAAACCTACACACAGTATTACCGATCATGCTAGCAATGACAAGATCAGCGCTGCTGGGTCGAAACCTAAACCTACCTGGAAAGTGCCACAGTTTCCAGTAGGAGGGGAGAGTGATAAGACAGACAAGGTACCTACTAATTCACTCTCTGCTAAAGAGAACTCCGCAGGCACAGTCTTCTCTGCTCCAGACAATAAACCCCCCAACATGCAAGCAAACAGTGTTATGAAATTCAGGAACGAGCTGGAAGCCCTACTCTCCCCAGGAAAGGAAAGTAAACCACCCACCGGTCTTACAAATCACAGGCACAGTCTGAGCACAAACAAAGTTGCACTGAATTTTGGGAGCAGCCAGACAAATTCCGGGGACTCCACGTTGCCAACACCTATAGCCAATCCGCTCCCACCCCCAGCAGCCTCCGTGGAAGTTGAGAAGTCGCAGGAGGCACGTAAAACTCCCAGTGCCCTCGCTAGTAATAAGACGTTTGAGAACTTAAAGCCTGTTCCCGGATACCGGCAGCCTGGCCATGTGCAGAAATCTCCAGACCTGCCTCAGAAACCAAAGGACCAACTCTCTGTTCCAGCCTCTACTTCACCCTCCTCCGTACAGCCTGCCTCTCCACAACCAGCCTCTGGGCCACAGACAGACTTTTCTCTCATCCAATACAAAACTCATCGGACCAAGACCAGATCCACAGACAGTCTCACCTCTCAGACCCCCTCTCAAACTGTGGAGGAGGGGCCAGTGAGTGCCAACAAACATGAGTCAGAAAGAGGCACTATCTTGGGCTCTTCTGAGAAGCCTCAGGTGCCAACAGAGCCAGCCTCTGCCTCCACGAATGCAGGCCAGGAGGAGGATATCCTGATCCACCCGGTCACAGGAGAAAAGGTGGAAAAAGGCTCTCCAATGGCTCTTCTCCTGGCCGCGAAACAGCGGGCCCAAAGAAGCAGGCCAACTGCCTCCCGCCAGAACAGCTACTTATCCAAAAAGCTCTCCGACAAACGGGGCAGCAGTAGCCAGTCAGAATCTGGCTCGACCAACTTCTTCTACCGTGAGTCGAAGCCTTACTCCTTCGTGGTGGTGCCAAAGACCCCACAGAAGGATCCCCCCAGCCTATCAGAGGGAAAGCCGCATGATGGGATGGTCACAGGGGAAGGCAAGCCACTGGGCTTCTCGGAACCAGAGCAGAGGAGCTACAGACCACTGGACTTCTCCAGCACGTCTGAGCAGTCCCGGAGCGCGCACAAAATTAGCGCTGCGGAGTCCCCGAGCCTTGCCAAGCCGGAGAGGTTTGGCACTTCCAGTTTAGTTCAAGGCCTCCGAGAGTCCAGTTACTCGAGGCTGCAAGACCTGTGCCCCAAACCTGAGCACCACCTGTACCCGCTCTCTTCACCTCCTAGCTCCTTGCCCAAGGAGAAGGAAGAGACTGGAGATAATTTGGATTACGAGATCATTCCCCCGCCACCAGAGTTCAGCAATGACGCCGATGGGGTCAAGGATGCTGATTCAACCGTGGCAGAGAGCCGTGGCCTCCCGGAGGGCAGCCAACCCTGGGAAAAGCAGCAGAACATCCGACCTCCAAGCTACGGCTATGGCAACAGTTACGCCCTGCCCCCCAAAACGCCCCCAGACGGCAGCGCGAGGAATAGTGGCTTCCGTCAACATTACCCAGGGGGCAGGCCCTCCGTTGGCCTTCCAGTCTCCAGCCCAGGCAGCCGCCCGCTGATCAAGAAGCGCCTCTATGTGTCTGAACCCGATAGTTCCTACACAAGAACGTCCACATCCTCCCGGAACGTTGGCACCCCCGGGACCTACAGCCAAAACGTGGCAGGGTACGGCTCCCAGGCTGCGGAGGGGATGCGCCGGGTTGGCTCCACCCACAGAAATGGCCCCAGCAGCACGCAGGGCAGGCGGATGTCACTGGAACCCCCCGGGAACACTCTGCCCTATGCCAACACCGTGAACAATGCCAAATATCAAGGGCAGAATGGGGACTCATCTGCAGCCAGCGCAGCGGTGACAACCAGCAGGTAGGTTCCCCTTGCTGCGAGGACCGGTGAGCTGAGGCTGTCACCACTAATCAGAACCCCTTGATGGGAAAAGTGTTTGATTTGAATCTTGAGGTCTGATCCTGAATGCTGTGCACTTGTGTGGCCTCTCGAGAGATTCCAGTGCATGCCCAGCTGATTAGTTGAGCGCCCACAGCTAGGTTTGTGTATCTCCTGGTGGTGCATATTCCTCAGTACACAATTTATTCCACACACAGATGGGAAAGATTAGAGAGAACATTGGTCTGAACCAATGCTTCTCATTCTGGATCAGATGAAGGAAGAGGCTTTTTCCCAGTCCTGTCCATGGTGAGCTGATCACTTTTGAGAACATCTTTGGTGCTCTCTAACCCCGACCTGATTCCTCAGGCCTAGGCCGGACTTTCAGTTGGTTTTCCCTCAGACCCACGCATCGACTGGTGCCACACCCAGCTTCCTCAGCCCCCCTCGAACTGTAAATTGTTCGGGGGGTGTGAGGGTTTGCCTAGGAGGGAAATATCTCCAAAGTCAAGCATTAGAAAATCAGGATGGGCAGGGAACAGGACCACATCTTTCTCCACATTTGCGCCATGCCTAATAGTAACAGGGTCTTAATTTTGATTTGGGGTATTGGGGGGGGGAGGGGAAACTGCAGCATTATAGATACAAGCCAAAAAGAGCACTGGGGAAAAGTGGTGTCCTAGCTTCTTCCCAGAATCCGGAGGCCCTTCTGCTGGCCCAGCTGGGAGAGGAGTCCCCTTCTTCCCAAGGAGCATGCTCCTTAATCCGGAGCCTGTTCTGAAGCCGATTTAAAAGGGAGCAAGCGGATTCCAATGCCTTGGGATAGCTGTAGGGTACACCTGGTCCTACCCACCCCCCACAACGGAACGGTGCCCGTTTAAAACAGTTCACTTGATAGTACAGGCGGTGCAGATGCAGTGGTGATTCAGGGATGTGAACAGGGAACTGGTAACTGAGTAACCGGTTGATGCTTACCAGGTACTGGCTAACTGGTATCCAGGAGTTGCCCAGGGCCTGCTGTGGGAGAAGAGCTGCTCCAGGCCCCCAGGTGTTGGGAGCCAGCCATCTGCGCACAGGGCTACCAGCCAACTGGGTGGGGGCGGAGGGGGACAGGAAGCTGGCAGCAGGTTTAACCAGTTAACGGATTCACTGGGATTTTACATTCCTAGGATGGTTCTGGCTGAAGCTGCCTCTAGCCAGTCTGTCCCTGCTAGCCAGTCTCAAATGCTATGGCAACAAGAGGCCCTAGAGAGACCTACAGCTTGTTCTCCCTGGCTGCAAGGCTGAAACAGAGCTACAGGAACTCCAGGCCACTCGCCTCCCTCCATCTTTGAGGCCTCACTGCTTTTGTTTTTATACATGGTTCCCATGGCGTTGGATGACTTCCTCTGTGTTTCCTCCCTCAGGCCTGTCCCGGGCAACTCACTGCACAGCGCTCCTGTGAACACCTTCACTGTCAGGCCTGGGGCCCGCCAGCCCATCTCCTACACGTACCAAGGTAGCCATCGATAAGTGGGTTCAGAAGGCTGCTTTGCCTGCTGCTTCCAGTTCTATTAACCTCCCTGCCCCCCCTCCGCCCCGCCGCTTCCCTCCCAGCCTGATCAAACTTGGTGTGATGCAGGATGGACTTGACCTGTCATGAAAGACAAGGCTCATCCAGGAGTAGGCAAAAGGATCTGCCGTGGCACCCAGAGTATCCTGTAAGTGCACTGCATGTAAAATATTGGGAGTGAGGCTGGGACTAAAACCCTTCTCAAAAAACTGATATGGAGAATAGTTACTGGAAAGGACCAGTTGTTGTCTTGGGAGTCACACCCTATTCCCCCTGCACAGGAGCATTGAGAATGCTCTAGCCTTGTCAGGGATTTTAAATTGTAAAAGAACGTGACCTGAATGCTGTTTCAATCCATGTGATCTAAAACTACTTTTTTTTTTTTTTTCTTTTCTTCCCACTACTTGTGTTTGGGAGGGGCGCTCCCCTGGGAACCTGCATGATGCAGAGAAGGTGAATAGAAGCAAATATGCTAAAAACGGGATAGGGAGTTTGATCATAACAGAGGTATGTGCTGAGCAGAGGATGGAGGGTCTGGAACACGGAAACTTTAATCCTAGCTCTGCTACAGACCCCCTCGCTAGCCTTGCGCAAGTCACTTAGCTGCACGTTTTCAAAAATGGCTTTTGATTTTTGAGGCCAGGCTTAACACCTCCTATCCGTGGGAGCTGCAGGTGGGTGCTTCAGCATTTCTGGAAAAAATCACCTTTGCACATTCTCAGGGAGCAGGGAGGTGTGCAAGTTTAGAAGCCACAATTGAGAACTGGGGCCTTGTCTTGATTTGGTCCAATAGTAAATGGTGCTAATGTTACATACCCCCTGCCTCAGCAGTGCTGAGCAGATTAACTGGTTATGGTTTGTAAAATGCTTTGGAGATTGACACTCAGTAAGTGATAATTATCCTTAAATTCTGTCTCTACGAATGGACTTCACTGTATATAGACTTTTACAGATCTTTTGCCCCTCAGAAGAATGCCCATTTAAACCCCATTCCAAACAGTTAAGCTACTGGTTTCCTATAAATGTATATTTTGGTTTTCATTTTAACCTACTTTGGGAGTCAGCTAATTTTTAATGTAGTCCTTAAAACAGCGGACGTGTGGTCTTTAATGTACCAGTCGTAAATATTAATGGTTTATAGTATCTGTTTTTAGTGGTTTCTATATAGTATGGATGCCATCTTCTCAGCGGGCAAGCATGCTGCACTGTGCCTGCTTTCTTCCAGTTCAAATACCTGTCTGAACTGCAGTCAAAAGAAGATTATCCAAATGAGATGGGAGCCATGAAAGTAACTTGAGCTAAATGGAGACTTGAGCTGCTCTCTCTCTCTCTCTGCCTATATGTGCATGTAGGGGGATATAATTTCATTTTAGATAACCAAACTTTGGTTAACTCATTCAGTTGGTAGAAAATATATAAATGAAACAAATCTTCTATGCATCAAAATGTAAAATAAATGTAAAAACTTGTAGAGCATATTTTCCAGATATGGACATCAAACAAAAAGCACTTTGAGACATTAGTCAATTTTTGTTTAGAGCACTTTCTTCACTACCATGCAATACCTTCCTAGTTCACTGAAGCTTTCTCATGTAGTGTGTATGTAAAAGGTTATTTTTGCTACTGGACTTTCAATATTAAGAGGAAAAACTTTAGCTTGCACTGCAACTTTCAAAACAAAATTTTGTATGAATATTATTCTTGTAAATTGATGTGTGTATGTTTATTTGTAATTCATTATACCAATTGCCTGGCTTCTGGCCTTACTCTAGAGTGGCCCCATATATTGGACATACATTTAAGTATTCAGGACTCTTACTTTGCTACAATGAATTTTTAAGAACACGTGCAAGTTTAACATTGTACCTAGCACTTAATGGGATTACGTGTGAGAATAAAGCAAGATACATACTGTCTTACAGAATTAGGGCCTGAATTTAGACTATTAAATATAGTTCCCATGTTAACATACAGATGAATTTCAAGGGCCTTTTTTAATTTAAAACTGTTTTTCCCCAACCTTTTGTTTCACACAGGCATAATTTTGATTCTGAATATAACTTGTTGCAAACTAATATTTTGGCATTGACACCTGACAACCTAGAATTGTGAATGTCAGCTTTCCTATCAAAACTAATCAAAAGTAAATTTGGGAAATTGAGGCTTTGCTCAAATCTATTTTCACCAAGGAACGGTCCTGGGTTGTTTTAGTGGATTTATTTTTGTTTTGCACAAAATCTTTATAAAATTAGCCTGGCTTCTATGAAAAGGGTCTGAAACAGGCTTTTTTTTCTTCCCAAATTTGAATTTTGTTTGCTTTTATTTCAGAGTCCCACTACATCCACCAATCTGTATTGCTCTTTTACTTCCCTCAAAAATCTTGTTAAAGTTAAGTACTCGCATTGTTCATATTGTTAAAGGAAAAATGACTTTCCTTTTAATTGAATATGGGTACCCATCCTTGCAAATAGATGTAATAGTTACAAAAACAGTGTGGCTACAGGCCTTCCAGTATGACTGTTGAAAAAAGCTCTTATCCTTACACTGGGAGAGGAACAGAAACCCACGAGGGATGGAGGGAAGGGTATTGTCAACAGCACTCAATAGTTACAAGAACAATAAAGTGGTGGTGGATTCTGTGTTCATGGATAGTATGAATTACAGCTAAAGCATGCTCTCCTTCCTGAATGCCTGCTCTGGCCATGTCTGTGCCCACTGACTTCAAGAGGAAAACGCTGTGGCCTACAAGGAGAGTCTTAGTTTGTTCAGACTAGGTCCCAGTGGGCAGCTGTCTATGTTGCAAAAAAGTCAGCATGAGTTATTGGCAACCCAAGCAGAGGGGCCAAAACCCAATGGGCAATGAAGAGAGACTTTTAGGGGAAAAGACTTGGCCGCCTCCAGATCAGGGTGTAAGCACTTTAAGACAGAATGTGCAGCTTACACGGTGTAGTAGATCTAGACAGGACTCTCTCTTCCCGGGCTCTAAACTGGCCGTTTTCAGCAGCTCTTAATTCAGCAGTGGGGTGTTCACTTTTTGCTTTTTTTAATATACAAACTACTCAGATGAATTATTAATTGTTTTATTTGGTCAACTGTTTTATCACTGCAGCAAGGTTGCTTCCAAAATGAATTAAATGGACTGTAGTCTGTATTATGCTGAAGTTTAAAACCTAATATTTTTAAACTACTTGCTTTATCAATGAAACCTTGGTCATTCATTCATCACAACTGCAGTTGTTTCTAGCAAATGACTATTTTACACATAAGCTACACTAGCAGTAGTATAACTGAAATTTTTACTTGTAAAATGTATACCAAGCTTTTATTTATACACTGTATTAAAATGTCACACCCACTCTGCCTCTCTCATTTAAATGTTTCACTTTTATATTTAGCTTGAAAGGGGTGGATTATGGCTGGTTGTTTAACTCAATGAAGGTTGTATTCAGCTCTCCAAGGGCATGTCTGCACCCGCCATGCTGGAGTTCGACATTTTGGCATTCAATTTAGCAGGTGCAGTTGAGATCCATAAATCAAACGCAGAGGATAGCTCCAGTTGGTGTCTGTACTCCTGGCAGTCATGAGGTGTAAGGGAAGCGGATGACAGCGTTCGCTCCCATCAGCCTCCTGCTGTGTGGATGCTGCCAAGCTCAGCTTAAGGTAAGCCAGCCCCAGCTTTGTATTCTGTGTAACTGGAGTTGCATACCAGAAGCCAACTTTCCAGCTCTTCTAGTGTAAACCTGGCCCAAAGAATTTAGAAAGAGACAGAAATCTGCTCCTACTATGTCTGGTGCAAAACAGGGAGTCCTTCAATTTTAAAATTTAAAGGGGAGGAAAAAAGGAGCAGCGTGGGGATTGCTTGTCTCCTGTCCTTGGTAAAAGACAGAATCTTTTCTTTTCCGCCTCTATCATTACCACTCTCGCTCTTTGTGGATTAGTCCAGCAGACTGCCTATAGCAAAACACCACAGCAGCCTGTTTCTCCTGTGGCAGACATGCTACACCATCCAAGGACTGAAAGGGTATAAGCAGTGAACTGTTTGTGCCCTGTTAGGGTGTGTCCACACTGCACCCATAACTCGAAATAAGCTACGCTATTTGAGCTATGCAAATGGCGTAGCTTATTTCAAATTTGGCACTGTCTAGCTATTCTGAAATGTCCCTTACTCTTTGTGGAATGAGGTTTACAGGGATGTCCGAATAGGAGCCTGTTACATTTTGGAATAACAATTTCAAAATACCTTCAGAGCTGCAGTGTAGACATGGCCTTAGAGGCCATCTCCCCCATTCTGGTTAGGGCACCTGGACAGAGAAGCTTCCACTCACTATTCCACCCTTGTTCTCAGGAACCTTAGGGTTACTAGGACTCTAGGCTTCAGAGCTGTCCGTCCAGCTTTTCAGCAGTACCGAAACTCCCATATGCATTTGCAAGTCCTAACACGAGTGTCTTTTAAAATGGAAAATGCTTGCATTACTCACGTTACAATGAGAAAAGACAGGCTTGTTTTAAACAGTGGCTCCCTCTCTTGACTTCTCTAAATTAAACAAACACATTTTTTTCATTACATTTAGTTAAGCAACTAGTTCTCTAAAGCTCTGGATAAATTCTGTATGTTTCTTTTAAAGTACACTATCTTTCAGCACTATATAAAGCTTGGTGCTATAAAACACAAAACAATAAGATTTCTGCTGACCAGTTAAGTTACTGGTTCAAGTTCTCAATAAGCAGATAGACTATTACATGCCACAAGTGCATCCTTCGCCCATAGAATGTAATCGCTTGGGGATGGAAAGTATACATTCCTCCATCAGCACAATGAGGATTAGATCTTAACTGAGGCATGTAGGTATTTCCACTGTACAATAAAAATAAGGGTGAGGCTGAAAAATGAGATAGGGTTTATAGTCAATTAAAAGTCTTAAAAGGAAAGCACAGCCGTACTGGGTATAGAAGACCTAGTTCCAACTGCAATTATTTCCCAGTTGGCTGATCTATCCTGATGGAGAAGACTATCAATTTAATACATAATTATCCGGCCCAATATGCATTTATCAAAAAGGCTCAATTTTCAAAGAAAGATCCTTTATGCCTCTCTTGGCTGTGCAATGAAAGCTCATGAGGTAACCCAATCAAACGGATGCTGCCCCCATGCGGTGGCATAGAGGGAAGCTTAACATTGAATTAAGCTATTAAATGTTTAAAGGGAAACAAAGCATTTGGGCACTGTTGGTGCATTAACAGAGGCAGCTGAGTACTCATCAGATAGTGCACAATTTTATAATACAGCCGTCAGGGTTTACACACACACAGTCCAGCATCACCTTTTCATAGCAAGTGAAATTTCACTTATGCTATGGGCGGTGAAAGACTATTAGTTTCAGCATTTGGTTTTAAAATTTCTATGGATTTTGGAGATAATGATCAGGGCCTTGCAAACCTGTGGATAGCTGCAGCTTATTTTTGCAGGTACCAATACAGATACAAAATTGGCACAGAGAACCCTGCAAACTTGTGGATTTCCATTTTATACCAGCAAGTATCTTCACACACAGATTATCCGCTGCTCATTTTTATAGCTGCAAATGCAGATGAAGTTTTTTTTTAATCGGCGCAGGCCTTTAATTATTGCCCAGCAAAATGTGATCGTGAGCAGCTGAGCCAACTGTACTTGCAAAATTAGAGAGAAGCAGAAATAGAGGCTCTTAAACACCATAGTCTCATAACAGCTTGTCATGGATTCTGGGAAGAGGGGAAGTAAAGGCAACAACTGTATCCTTGCAGTAAACAAGCTCTCACCTTGAGGTTAAATGTAGTCGGGTATTAGTGATGCATAAGACCTTTGCACAAGGATGAATTTTATCTTTACTGGGGATAAAAAGCTTCAATGGTAGCTTCCACAGTTTTATATGCTTTCCTAAGTAGGCATACTTTACTGCAGGAGGGCCTTTATCAAGAAAAAGGTTCTACAATTCACATCTGGAACATGAAGACAAATGTATTTCCTATCCCTCAATGCAAGTCATATGTTCTAGGATTACTCTGTGGAGTGAAAACAAGATAAACAATGCACATCTATGAGCTAAGTGCCCCAGTGAATCTGTGCCCATTTAGAAATTAAAACTATGCTTTATTAAAAACTTGCCTTCCGTTTTCAAAGACATCCATCCATTTTACATGTAAACAGCACAAGTCTTGTTTCAATTCTCACTACAGTATCACAGAGGTCCATGACAGTAAGTATGAGGTTTTTCCTCTTCCTTTATTTTAAAATTAAAGGCATTTGCTTTTATAACTCTTTCTCTTTTGAATATGCTACACCAAACTAGATCAGTGAAACATTTCTTTGTGTCGGAATTCATAAGAGAGCCAACTCGGCTTTAAATGACTAAATGGAAAAAAAAATTAAACTAGGAAATCTGTCTACCTGCCTGAACATTACCTATGGGTACTGCACCATTTGGGTCTGCTATAATCTAACGTGTAGATCTGGTGAAGTTAATATTATCCTTCATTTTGATTTCTTAGCTCATACAGAACAGCATAAACAATAAGGAGTCCCATGGCACCTTAGAGACTAACAGATTTATTAGGGCATAATGTTACACATTAAGAGGAGAAGTGGCTTCTAATCTAACTTTCTGTATCTTTGCCTCATAGTATGTGACCTACTTAAATTTTGGAGGCTAGAGAAGTGGGCAAGAACCCTGCATGGAGAACAAAATACCCTGACTGCAGTATGGAACAAGCCCAAGCATGGCAGATTTACAAAGCCACACCGTAGTGTACGGGAACAGTTTTGAAGGCATTGCACAAGTTAGGAATTTGGGGAGTACAGTTCCCTCCCCAGCACAAAAAGCCATAGTTACTTTCACAAGAGGAATGAGTAAATTTGAGCTTTAAGTGAAGTATCTGCCAAACAGGGAGGCTGAAGTTTTGACCTTGGGAAGCCACAGTGGTAACTTGTCTTGGTTTTCGGGCCTCCGTTCACGTCAACTATAATGCAGCCAACTGAACTACCACCATCTTTGATACAGACACATTTCTCCATAGCCTAGACGATATTTCACCACAAAGACACTGAAAGGCTGGGCTGGAGAACCCTGTGATCCGCATAGCACAGGTCTCCATCTTTTCTCTTATTGATTATCTGAACATTCAGCTCTCTATTCACAAGGCAGCAGAAATGACTAGCAAATTCTGTGTCTGTGTAGGGACTCGAATATAGGGAAGAGGCCGCCTCCTCAACTGCGCTGGAGGTTGTATTAGTCACAGTGTAGTCCTTCTGTCTTATAAATACTGAACTACGGCTTCCTAGTCCTTTGTCAGGATTAATTTACACTACTCTTACTGTTCCACTCATCGCAACTCAAACAAGGTGCCACACAAGACCTGACAGACTTTTTAACTAGTAGGAGAATTTTGTCTGTCTTCTTCTGTAAGTGGTTTGGTAAGTGAAGAAGAATAAAAGCCAAATCCTTTGTGGTTTTATTTATTTATTTTTACCTAATTGTCAGTTTCCCTGCAATTCCTGGAAAAAAAATCTAAATTCTCTGGTGCAACACGTTAAAATTTTTTATCACAGGTGAATCTGGTCTCTACATCATGGGGCAGTTTTTGTTATTAGCTCGTGCCTAACACAAAGTTGCTACAGGACCTGTCTTCTTGGTTGCAAGCCATAAGTTCAGAGACAGGGGATGTAGCCAGATAGCTCCCTGATGCATACCACGTGGAGGTATACCAGAGATCTATCTGGACCAGCAAGTTTATAAAAAAATTAGTCCTATACACTGTTACTTGCAGCAGCTTCGCTAGTCTGAGTTGGAACTGTGTGGTGTAGAACTTGATGGTCCCATCCCACGGTGGAGAGCAAGGTCTTGTTCACAGGAGACCATGCCAGGCCTCTCACAAAGTCCCGATGAGAGCGGTTTCTGAAACTGAGGAAAGCAGAAGATGGCATTACAGATACAGTTTTATGGCAACCATACTTTCAGGCCTCATTCTCTTTACATTACCAACCACTTAGCTGCACTGTCAATACTGGGAAATTCCAGCATGCATGTGGCCAGGCAATGTTCTGTGATCAACAACTGCTGATTGATAAGTTATCAGCTGCTTTATCAACCCCCCGTTCTTGCCCGCCAAACAGACATTTGGTTAAAAAAGGGAACTGCAAGAATCTAATTTTGTTTTTTGCCTCCAGCCAAGTCCATGACCATAAACATCAGAGGGTGCATTTGATCCATTTCTGCAGTGCTACCACAAAACAAAAACAAACTAAAACACCTAATCTCTCTTTACAATAGTAGAACAGAAGTTTAATATGTTCCTCCCAAAGGGCTATTATTTTTCCCACATATAAAGCACACTTAGTGATCATTTAATTTCAGTTAATATGAGGCTAAAGGTTCAAAATGAACTAAGTATTACATCCAGTTAGTACTTACAGCTCTGAAAGGCTGGAGTCAAGAACAGCTACTGAGCAGTCTTCACTAATTGAAGCTAGGAGGGGTGTACTATAGGGTAAAAGAAAGACCAAAGTTAAAACTGCTCCTGTAGACACATTCATGTTAGCTCTCATCTGAGCTAGCGGGCTAAATGAAGTAGTGTAGGCATGGTGGCACAGGCCAGATGCCTTAGATACATACACCTGAAAACTCATATATAAACAACATATGAAACAAATGCTTCTTGCTGGAGTGAACAGACCACCAGGCAATATCGTAACCTATATCTGCACAAGTTTCTTTTAGCAATATTTAAATATTCTATTAGTATTTTCTATATTTTAATCAGCATTAATGGGCAACATTCAGTTTCCACATAAACATGAGGACAAGCAATGAAGTTACAGGATTATTCAAAGGGGTTTAAGTATTACTAACACACATTTCGATGTGGACTTTACATATATGACATTATTTCCTGTGCATGCCAAATCAGCTTGACACGTAGCCTACTACAAAAGGCTGTGGCCACAAATACTGCCAATTGCTTTAGTTCTCACAGTCAACGGGATCTATCTATTAGCGTCTAAGCTCCCTCACTGCACAGTAACATGAAGAACAGCACCTGTGTGTAGAAAATGCAAACCCGGTGATAGTTTGGGAGTGCACAGCTGAACTTAGAGCAGCATCTGGGTTCTTTGTGTCTACAAGGGCAACTGTCCCATTTTCATCACCTTTAAAAGAACAAAGGAGAACAGGATTATTAGGAAAATGAATGGGTGAAAACCAAGTACATTCAATCAGAATCTGTGATCTGGATCATGGCAATCAGTAAGAGAGCGGCTTACCCAAAACAAACGTGTCATTTTGCTGTGGATGCCATATAACTGAGGTAGGGAGGTGAGCAGAGGCACTGCAAACTGTCAGTAAAGAAACCGTGGTGAGTGTAAAGAGAACTGAGAGCTCAGATAGTCCCATGTTATTTCTGCACCTTCCATTGCTGATTCACTAACTTGTTGTACTTATGTATTTCTATTTCTCAGCAATTGGCTGAGATAAATTTTACGGGATAGAACAATGCAAACATAATAAACCTTTGCAAATTTGGCCCCCTCTCCCTCCCCTCCCACTGAAAGATGCTATGTATTGTGCATCCACAGACTTACACATTCGAGTAGCTGGTTTGGGGCACCTGGTATCCCACAGTAAAATTCTGTCATCCTACAAATCCAAAGTTAATTGGGAGAGGAGAAAAAGAGAGAGGTTTTATACATTCTTTGCCCCCACAGATCACATCAATGCATTAAGCCTTAGACTGGGAGTCATGAGTAGTAATCTTTGCTCTGCCACTTGCTCTCTGCATGGTCGTGGGCAGAGCACTGTTTTCAGTTCCCCCTCTCTAAAAAGGGAACAATCAAGCTTACCTACATCCCCAGAGTGGGGATCAGTTTTTGTACAGTATTTCAAAAGGCAAGCACCACTGTGTAACTGCTCAGTATCATCAGTTAGTAGGGATGTTGAAAAGCAAGTAATTGGGTAACTGTGTAATTGCCGAAAATTTCAGCAGTTATATGCACCTGCAGTGTGGTGGCAGGCAGCTTCCTAGGAGCTGGTACACACTGGGAGCCAGCTGATAAAGAGCCAGCAATGCGGGGTGTTAGCAAGCTCCCCGGGAGCGGGACATAGAATACCGCCTTCATGTAATCATTCACGGTAACCAAAAAGCCCAGGCTTATTGGTTAACTGTGTAAACAGCTATCCCGTTACATGCCTATCAAAGACAATGTTATGTGTTTGAATCAGAATATTCCTGTAACATGAAACAAATCTCATTCAAATTCATAAATGAGCAGAGCACAGATTTTTTTTCAGGTTATTTCATTCAAGATTTTTTTTCAAATTGTGACAATGGCTAAAAGCAGAGCTTATTATGTAAAATTTTATAACAATATTGCACAGTTGTACAATTAATTACAAGACTACCTTTTCCCTCCCATGCCCTACGTTTAAGGTCTTTCTAAACTAAATAACTGTACACACTCAGTACAGATGCAATGCATCGATGCAGACTACCCTGAATTCATACCAGTGCAATTTCTGTATTACTCTCTTGTACCAGAACATTTAAACTGGGGTAGATATATCTTCAGTACAGAGTAAGCCTTAAAAACTACAGAGCAAGCCAAGAGCAAATTTCACTGTGGTCAATACAAATTATTACAGTAAGTTATGGACCAATGACTGAGCCAAGCTGGAATGCTTCAAGATAATCCACAAAGTGCTACTTATTGACTATGCAAATTCATGTTTTAACTACAGAGTAGATGGTCCAAATTAGATTTATGCTATAGAAATTTGGAAACATAGTTAGCTTTACCTCAGCACAAGACAGGAACACGGTATCCTTACCGGGACAAGTGGCCACACAAGTCACTGGGCTGGAATGAGCTATGAAGAAAAAAAGAATGAAGCTACCAAAAGGTCGGGAATGTGGATCAAGGCTAGATGAGAGGCCTAGCTAACGAGGGGTGTCATTTGGCTCCTTTACACTGCAACTGCCTGGACTTTGGCTCATAGGGATGTAACTCCTCCATCAGCACTGAATTCACACAAACTTGTACTATCAAGTAATACAGCTACAATTCTAGGGGAGAAATATTTTCAGCCCAACATACTTATCATACAATGGCTCCACAGAGAGGGGGCAGGAAAACAGTCACTTGTTAGTATGATGTTTGGGAAGAAATGAAAGCCAAGCGAGTGACACACATTCCTGGAAACACGTGGGCTAAAAACATTCTAGCAAGCCTGCAAACCTAAGGATAATCCCACAAAACAGACTTTGTAAACGGTTAAATCATACATACTGTCCATATACAATGACGTACCCTCCTTTTTCCTTGAAAACCAAGTATCACACATTATAATCAGGATAAGTATAATTGGGTTGCAGCAAGCAATCCCAAGTAAATAGTTTTGGGTCAACAATTGTCATGCAGTCACCAGCTAGGATACTGCATAAATGCACTCTGCAGAGCTGTGTCTATTTTATTAGATTTCAAGTTCAGACTCCCAAAGGAGTGCTTAGAAATAAATGTAAGCAAAATGCCCAAGTCAGTTTGGCACTCACCTCTGTAAGAGTGCAGCACTGTTTGCTGTGGGATGTCCCAAACCTTCACGCTAGGAGTAAGAATGCACTAGTTAGGAACAGCAATGATTCACTCAAAACAAGAGAGAAGCACGTTCTTGAATGAATAGGAAACTAACCAGAAGTCTTTGCTGCCACTAACGGCCTGAGTGGTGTTAGTGAAAACGCTGACTGTGGTCACGATGTCATCATGCTCGTATTTACAAAACTTGTTCACTATCAGAGTTTCATTCTCATCCAACTCCCAGAGCTCCACAGCCCCTAAAAGAGAACAGGGAAAGCCAACAATTTTACCAAGTAGGTTCAACCAAGAACCAAAAGCAAAGCCTGAGAGAGCATGCTTAGAGCCCTGAAAATTCACGAATATCCATTTTATATGTGCGGATGTGGATGCGGTTATCCGCAGCTCATTTCTGTGGATATGGATGAAGATACAAATATTGTATTTAGAACACTACAGATTTGTGGATATCTGCTTTATATCCACACCCATAGATGTGTATATCCATGGCTCATTTTTGTGGATACAGATGGGGCTCTACAGATGCTGTATAATCAAGAGCTCATTACCCAGAAGGATCTTGGGGCAAATTGGATGTGATCTAAATGTAAACAACGCCATAAACAAATCAATGAACAGACACACAAACTGAAAGAAAGTTTTAAAAAATGCTACCATGATCGTATGACAAGTATTAGGTAGCAGTTACACAGCGGTCTTTATTTTGGAAGCACATCCCAACACATGCAATCAAAAACCTTAACAATGCTTCATTATTACAGTTATGAGTGTCATAGAAGACACCAACCTACAGGATCTGGAACATCCCTCTGAGATAAATTATTATTTATTATGGCAGCTAGGTGACCCATACATAGCTCAGGGCCCCACAATACTAGGTGTAGTACAAACAGAACAAACAAAACAGTCCCTGTTGTTACAGATGGGGATGCTGGCACAGAGCAGTGACATCGCTTGCCCATGGATTTACAGTGGCGTCAGGAACACAATTCAGACGTCTTAACTCCAAATCTATGCTCAGGCTTTGTTTAAAGGGTTCAGAATTGCAATGGTCTCAGCTGAGAGTCAAGGGCAAGGGGTAGGAATCCACCAATACAACTGATTTTGTATTATCAGTCTGTATGCATACATTCAAACGTGAGCAAATTCTTGTGGACTAATCTGCAGGTTTGCTTTTTTTTTAAAAATGTATAATTCTGAGGAGTTTTTAATCCCAAACACACTCCCACTTCTGGCCAAAAGGGACCATTGAGGCAGTCCCCTTAATGCCTTCCACATGGCATCTCACACAGCTCCCTTTATCTGCACTAGGCTAACTACTGATCATACCCCTGCATTAATGTCACAGACTACGGCGCTATAAAAAGTCAATCAGCTTTAACTTACCAGAATCTGAGGCCACCAGTATTCCTTTATCCGCTATCCATTTCAGATCTGCCACACCTGCTTCTGTCTGAACTCCAGCAGAGCAAAAGCCTTCATTTGGGGCCCGTTTTGGATCCTTGAATACCCAAATGGAACCCACCCAGCAACGCCCACTCAAGCTTGACGCCCCCAGGAGAAGAGCTCCATCTGGAAAAGAAGATGATCAAGATGAAAGAGAGTCACAAATCCTGCAATTCCGCACATAGTGATCCGATACATAAAGCCTAATATGGAACTCAGGTTATCCAAACCAAAGTTTCATCTCGAATAGGAAGAGTTTGCCTCAGATAAGGCATGTTAACTAAGCTTATCCACTGTAAGGCCTTGTATACACTTACATGCACCCGCGATCTACTTCAGCTACTCAAAGAATGTACCTGAAGTTGACATTCTGCACGCAAAATGCTGCGGTAAGTTTGGCAGGGGCTGCTCTCACCTCAGTGCTGGCTATCTTTCTCATCTTGGTGGAGTACCAGCACAGATAGGAGCGTTCTTGGAAATCAATTTGGGAAATGATGGGGGGTGCAATGCTGCAGGCGGGGGGGGGTGATGATGGGAGGGTGCAATGCTGCGGGGGAGGGGAGTGT